AGAGAGAGAGAGAGAGAGAGAGAGAGAGAGAGAGAGAGAGAGAGAGACGGAGAGAGCGAATGCCCAACATACGCCGTCAGTAATTACAACGGCTACAACGGAATCATTTGTTTGCGCATTGTTACCGCAAAGCATTGTTGCACAGTGAAATGTTCCACCATCAATGTCCATCGGGCACACAGTTACATCCTTCTGCCCTCTTCCGCTGTGTATAGTCCTTGCGGACTCAAACGCATTGTACACCCTCTTGATTCGGCCTGCCGATGCATCTATACGTACATGTATACACACACGCACACACACACACACACACACACACACACACACACACACACACACACACACACACACACACACACACCACACGCACACGCGCTGACCGTTGCGTGAATTGTGTGTCGACAAACGCTGCATCTTTCAATCTCGCACGGAACCGACTGCTACGTAGCGTGCATATGCTTTCGGAAATGGAACGTGAAACAAAAAGCTGATCGATTTGTAAGTAGGTATGTCGTATTGTGCACAGGCAGAACGAAATGGACACGCAACAACGGGATGGATGCAAACGGCGGATACCGTGTGCAGCGGTATGAATTAAATGTTTACAAAAACAAACGACAAGTCTCCTCTTATTATGAAAATGTGGCGCAGTTGGTGATATTTAGGTACAACGCAATTACGCTTGGAAATTTATAATTTCCAGTGAATTTCTGCTATATCATTTATTATATTTGTTTATGTACATGCTCCTATATTATTTGGTGCTAATGCTGACACGTATGTAGCTGATTATAATTAGGGGAAATTCCTATACTGCCTTCCCAACCATGATATTAATATTGAATAAAATCATAGATTATACATTAAAAGATCTTTTAGACGGATTACAATATAGATATAATTAATAATACTAAGATTTTTGACTGATATTAACCGATATTAATCCGACATACGATCTGATATTATAGTTCTGAATAGTTCTGAACGCAAATACCATATTTTGCCTCGTTAAAATAATACGGAATATGGAAGTAAATATATTTTTCAAGCAGAATTATACTGTGACAATTTTGCTTATTTATATTTATCAACATTCAACTCCGGATCAGTATACGGCCATATGAAAAATATATGTATTTATCATCTGTGACAAAACGTCGAGCGCATTTTTAGTTGCAACGTTGATGAAGCAGACACATCTATTTAAACTAGCCCCAGCTACTCGCGCTGATATTAATTCCACTCCCGCTACAGTGCAGTGCCCGTATTGCGGTTTCACTGCCGCTAATAACGCCCCGCTTCCAGTCACTCGTTATTTTTCTGTCAAATGCGAATTCCAACGAGGCATATTAATTATCGAAGATGCTACCGCAGGCAAAGCAATTCCCCCTCTCCTCCTCCTGGCGCGAGCCCGACGTCGGTACTGCCAGAAACCCGAGTACGTATTGGCTGTGCGAACTATATCGGCCGCACGTCGAATATCCGATATTTCATAATGGATATCCAATATTTACGATAGTGGACAGACGCCTGCGGATGCGCGATGCAAAAAACGATGGAAAGAGTAGATAGAGAGAAAATCCAACTGTGGGTAGAAATGCGAAAGCGAGCGAAAGAGCGACAAAGAACGAACGGCAGGAGAGACGAGAGGGGCAGGCAGGGCAAAAGTTAGAAGAGGGGAAAAAGACTCGGAGTGATTTCTAGTGAATTTTCGATCGCGATATGGTGAGAGAGCTTATAGAGAACGCTCGTTTACAAGGTTCGGTTCATCTTCGGCATAACCGAAACCTGCGGTAATTATGCCACGAATGTCCGACATGATTGGAATTATATATACAACGCGCTTCTGATTTCGGAAGTATACACATTCCCGTTCAATGCGCCCGGCGCACATAATTACATAATCGTAAATATTTGATACGTTCGATTAGAGTTGACGAACGGACGTAGTATAAGTGATGACTAAATATTCAAATACACGCATAGGTACGCTCGAGCGTACGCTTCCAACGTAACGCTGATAGGATGGGCGTATCAATATTATCACTTATATACACATTTCAGTGAAATCATCAGTGCAGTCGTGTTCCAAAAGATGGGTCTGTTACATCAAAATCTTCGTAAATTCAATAATTAATCTGGCGTCAAAGTATACGCATCAAATAACTTAAATATGGTAATAATAAAAGAGAGAGAGATATGTATAGAGAATGTACGGCGCGCGATGTGGAAATTAGGTATATTGCACTTTGAGCAACGCAATATCAGCTGCGAAAGCTTCGAGCGAATAAAGTGGATGAATCATTACCTAATAAAACGAAGTTGCGCGTGTGTAAGTATGATACGGCTCGTATATTAAAGCAGGATGTATATAAGAAGAAAGATATATAAATGTGCGTGTCTACACGATATCAGTAATAAATCGAAATACAAACATTTGCTGAGATGAAACAATAAATAACGGTTGATGTTTTGATATCATTTTTAGAAACGGTACTGCGAATGCAAGACAAGCAAATTCTACAGCAAATTGTTGCTCAACCGTGCAAAATTTAGCGAATAAATTTCCAAAATTATATGTTATTCTTATGCGGCACCAAATCGCGCAATTCAACCTGATGCACTTTGTCTGCCGGTGCTTGCTTGAAAACGACGTTTCTATAATCCCAAGAGAAAGCATTCCGAGAGAGAGATGGTATTGTACGCAAACCTCCGCATAGAATTCGAGATGAATGAAGGGCAGAAAGCGCCCCTTTCTCTAGCACCTTGCACAAACAGATTCGCGTAACCTCAAGTAAGGTCCGGTGCATGCTTTTCCCCTCTCCCTACATCATGAAATTACAAAATTTCGCTTACAACTGTAGCCACGCATTGCGAAAGGTATTTAACGTCTAAAACCAGAATAGATACACTTTGCGTCCCATTTTATCACAAAATGTGCAAGACATAAATCTCGTTTCTCAGCATTTATTAAAAGTTGTTGTGTAGGTATATTTCGCGAGTGAAATATTATAATACAAAGATGCAGATATTAACATTGCTTATAAGAAATGTTCTATTAACGCCGCGCAACATTAGTATCGTTTAGGTATAATTTTAGCATGAATCTATATCAAATTTTCGTATTTATTAACTAACATATATATTTCGGTGACTATTCGATTACATTCTGAATATTTAACAATCCAATCGTATTAGAATCAATATAATAATATATTGAATAGATTGTGCATTGTGCAAGAGATGCTAATTAATAGCATTAATGAATATTATATAGACCGAAGCAAGTTCTAGGTATAATAATATTTGTATTGCAAATATTCGATGTTTATATTATTTGCATTGGTATT